CACACAGGTCACATTGCTTTGTGGAGAAAGAGAGATGCTACTTCCAAGTTCAAATGCCTCCTCATATGGGACATGTGTGTCTTATAATAAGGAAAACTCATCACTCTGGAGAAGCGTCTCTACAACCTGGCACAACAATCTGGAAAAATAGCTCAGATGCATCTGAACAGATGAACAGGGCCATATTTGAATGATTCAGAAAATCAGTAACAGAGATAAAAACAGAAGCCAGACATCCCAGAACTGCGCTCACATTTCATTTACTTCCCTAGAGACTAGATCCACAGCTTAACAACCCCACTGGGAACAATTCTCCTGGATCTACCTGTCTCTTCCATGAGCATGGGAAGATGCTAGCTATGCCACTAAGGCATATGATCACTTTCCTGTCACGGCTGAGCATGACAGAGCTAACTAAATCCCCTCTGTTATCAGAGAACAGGTACAAGTAGCTCTGCAACTGCCAAGAAGAGACAGCAAGGACCAAATTCCTGTCTTGAATGCTGATTGCACAAGACAAAAAAACCAAACATGCTGTCCATCAAACAAATTATATGAAGGACAAGTATATCAAAACAAAAAGTCCACATTGAGACACCTGTTGACCAAAGTTGCTCAGGAATTGCCTTGCTACTTATTACTCAAACTTGATACTGTTTTAGTGTAAGAAATCCATGATTCAGCCAGGCCAAACCACATGGATGAGAACTGCATCTTTGTGGAATGGCATCTTGCTTCTAGACTGGGCCTTCTCATCAAAGACTGAAAAAGACTCCACTCAGATAAAAAAAAAACCTTGTTTGAATTTTGAAGTTGTGTTCAGCATAATGCAGAGGTAGACATTTTTTAGCATAGACCATTTGTAGGGAAAGGAAACAATCTGTGGACTGGTCACTCTGCCAGAAAGATTTTCCTGAGGAAGAGACATGTAAAGCTTGTCATGTGCTTTGTCACATCTAACAGAAGTGCTCAGTACTGTTTAGCAGAAGACAATGTGGCCTGGGGCTTCTTCGAGCCATTGTTCCTCTTCTTCACCGGCTCCTTGACACATGGGCATTCACCCCTCTGGTTTTCCATCCCCTACAAAGATGCAGAGAAACCCCGTCAATTTTTAGAATATAAAACTGGAGATTCCCTGTTTAAAACACAAGTTGGAACCAGGATCACTGCTACCAAGGCTTAGGGAAACATTTCCTAACTTACAGATGGAAACACACCAGAGATTCAGTGATATCAACTCTTTGTTTTCAATAGCCCGAGGCAGGTGATGTGCGCTACCAGACAGAGCAGAAGTCTAAAATCCCAAATTCATTAGTCTTGAGCATAAATGGAAATAATGCAACAGGTAGGCAACGGGTTTTCTTAAAGGAAGCAACAGAAAAAACTGGACTCTTTGGGGGCTGGCCCATTGTGTTGGAAGTCAGTTTGGTTCAACACTCACTCTCCCTGGGCCTGCACAAAGGCACGCTCCCTTCTATAATGTCACTAAAAGAAATAAAATCCTCCCCCTAACAGACAATAGATTTCCCACTGGATGCTGCAGAATTCACCAAGCTTCTTCCAGTTCCACAGGGCTTGACAGCAGGGCAGTATTCCCAAAAGTAATTGTAGTAACCAGGATTAACTTGGACATCTTTTGTAGATTTGGAAATTTTCTTGGTACTACTACTTCCGGTGTCTTTTGCAGAGACTCTGTTATCTTCAGAAGCACTATTCTCACTTAATTGCTTTCCTGGGGGCAGAGTAGGGAGACTGCAGCAGGGGGCTTACGCTTAAATGTAAATCCATTTTCTCCTCTTTCCCTTTCTTCTTTGTGACCGATATTCAAAATATTGAAAACCCCACTTTTTCCCTAATAATATCAGTTCCTTTGTGGTCTGCAGATGAACAGGCTGAGGATTAACAGCTCATTGCCCGGAGCAAAATGATTCAGCACAAGAGGAATGACATAAAGACAGATTGGCTGTGTTTGATCTCATATTAGCAGTGGCAATACTTGCACAAAGGAAACATTTCTCCTGCCAAGCACTTACTTTCTTCTTAATTCTTGTCAGAATATCTTCCAGATCATAGGTGGAAAGAAATTGTTCCAAAAGCCTTTTAAATTTTTGATGATTGAGCAACAGCTTCACCATCTCCTGTCCATAATGCCTAAGGAAGGATGAAAGGAATGACAGAAGGAAGGGAGGGAGGAAGGGAGGACACAAAGGAAAAGTGAATAAACAAAGGAAGAATGTTAACAGTAGAGGCTGATACCTTAAACTCAACAGGTGCAATCCTTGCATGAGAAGGCATTACCTACTCAGCAAAGAGGGAGATGTACTTCCTCTTGACACTGCACAGTGCTGTCAGCTGAGCACAAGAGGCAAGAGAAGGTGGGGCAACAGAAAAATACCATTTCACTCTGAAACTGTGGGTGTGCTTCTGTGGGATCAATGATCCCAGGGAACAAGCAAAACACATCTGCTGTGTTGTCAGAGCCTATTAGCAGTGTCCTGCTGCCATTGCACAATAATTTGCCCTTCTTTAACTGGGAGGGAAGCCAGGACAAAACACCTCATGCATCCTATTGATTATTCTATGCTATATGTATGCACAGGGGCAGCTAGTTGCTCTGGTGTTCTTGGCAACTATTAATGGGAATTTCACCATCCAAGTAAGAGGATTTTTGTGGTTTGGGTTGATTTTGTCACTAGGAAACCACAATTTTCTTGCAAAAGAAATCTGGAGGTCACTGAGCCACAGATAACAGCATTGTAGAAATCTGCAGAACAGGTTTAGAATGACTGAATATGTTGGCTAAAGACCTCTGAAATATTTCTAGGAAAGTCTTAAGTTAATGAGAAACAGATGTTTGGGATCCTTCAGTGATGACCATTAGTCAACACTTTGGCTTTGTGTTGTGCACCTAAGGCCAAACAAAACTGTTGGACTGGCTACTCTGAGCTCTTTTGATCTCAGTAAAGAATCCTTCAAGCCACAGGAAGTTGGCAATGCTCCTTTTTGCTGGCCAACCTCAGGTTACCCACTACAGTCATTTCCCAGGCAGCCCAGAGCAGTGGGCACAGCACCAAGGCTCACCGAACTCAAGAGGCGTTTGCACAATGATCTCAAGCACATGGAGTGACTCTTGGAGTGTCCTGAACGTAGCCAGGAGATGGACTTGATGACCCTGATGGGTCCCTTCCAACTCAGCATATTCCATGATGCTATGACCCTTATTCACACAGTGTGACAACTTCTATTTCCTTTACTTCCCACTCTTTTGTGGTTTTACCTTTATAGCCAGACACAAAAATATTTTCCTCTTTTAGGAAGTGAAATGAAGATCATTACCTTGTGTCCTGGTGACAGTCCTGAGCAAGTTTCCCTGCCACATGTGCCAGCCTCTCAGCCCTGGATGTGCCTGCCAGCTTCGTGACTCCAATTCTCTCCACCAAGGACAGGAGGAGTTTAGCCGAGCACTTCTGCACCTGGGCATGGCGGCTCCTGGGAAGAAGAGAGCAAACCCTGGGCACAGGGAGAAGGAGCAAGAGCAGCACAGGCCTTGGCCAGAGCCTGCTCCCTGTCCTTGCTGGGGGAAGGAGGCCTGGGTTCTCCCTGCAACTTGAGACACCTGTAGAAGGTTCTGTCCTCAGGTAAACACAACGCTAGCATTGTACAGAAGGACTGCCTGCAAGGAAGAGGGAGGAATTCAGTCTCCCTGCACCATCTGATACTCCATTTCTTTCACAGTATTTACTCTGAGAAAGATTAAAGAAATAGATTACATATGAATTATTTAGAAATGAAGGACAATTCTGACCCATCAGAGGGCACCCACTACACAGAGCTGCAGCAGGATTGAGGCTCTTTCCACCCGGTTGTCCCCAAATCTGCAGACCTTTGGGAAAAAACAAATGCAGGGAAAACATGTTGTGGGCTGTGAAGTTGCAGAATATCCAGCAATGCAGCCTGTTTCTTCTGTGAGGCTTGGCAAGGGAAACATCTGAATGTTTTACCCTATTCCAAAGCTGAGGAAAGGGTGGCAGGCAGTTTAGCCAGGTTGTCTTGTTCTAGAGAAAGTGTCTCTTGGCAACTATCAGCCCAGCACCAACACTTAAGGCAGCATTTGCTTCAACTGTCCCACGGCAGTTGGCCTGTGAAGGTGCCTTTAAAGTGATTCATCATGTCAAGGCTAAAATGAAACACCAATTTGAATAGAAAGTAGAGTTCCATGGCCAGGACAGTCATACAAGACTCCTTTTGGCAGGAGCTGCACCTGCTGTGCAGGCTTTGCCACACCCAGCAGATTCTCCCCCATGTGCTCCACGCCTCAGCAAGTACCCTCCTTATTTCTCCAGGTAATGGCATCATGAGGAGACATGGTTTTCCCAGGGCCTCTGTGGTTAGGGCTGTGAAATATCAAACACCACTGACAGCTGCAATTGCAATTGTCCCTCTTCCCACAAAAGCACAAGGCTCTATCCTTAGCCTTTGCAGGCACTTTCACTTCCCCAGCAGTCACCACCTCTAGGAAAATCTGACAGACTGCGAGAGCTCCAGGAAGCAGCAGGAAGCTGAGTCAGAGGTGCTTTAGTCTGGGTATCAGGAGAAAGGTTTTTCACCCAGAGGGTGGTTGAGAACTGGAACAGGCTCCCCAGGGCAGTGGTCACAGCACCAAGCCTGACAGAGTTGAAGAAGCACTTGGACAACTATCTCAGGCACTTGGTGTGACCCTTGGGCTGTTCTGTGCAAGGCCAGGAGCTGGACTCAATGGTCCTGATGGGCCCCTTCCAGCTGTCCATATTCTACCCTTCTGTGATTCTGAGAACTAATAGACTGCAGGAGGACAGAAACAGGTAACAAGAGGAAAGAAATGAGGTTGATCGGAGAATCAAGTCACTGAGTTCACAGAAGATGCAGGATACAGGACCCTTCCCTCCCACCATTCCCATTCTCTCATCCCTTCCCCCTCCCACACGCTAGAAGGTGAAGAATATCACTAAAAGAGGAAGAACCTACTTGACTCCTATGTCCATGAGAGCAGCCATTGCTCGTGCAGGAGTCACATTCTCCACCATGATCCCCAGGGCCTGACAGGCTGCTTTCTGAACAAATTCTGGGGAGTTCCACACCATCTGGAGAAGGACCCGAGCAGCCTCATCCACTTCAGAGTCCATGTCCTTCTTCAAGGTCTCAAAGAACTCTCCCAGAGTGACGATTGCAGAGTAGGACACCTTGGAATGGAGGTTGGTCACCTGGGGAAGTCATGAGGGGAAACATAAGAATCACCTTTAAAAGAAAACCACGTGCCTTCAAAAGAAGTCCCAGGAAATGACAACATCCCACTGTGTCCAGAGGAACATAAAAGTACAATAAGGGCAGAAGAGCACAAGCACAGAAAAGCACTTACTCTGGCACCAATTTCTGGCCTCAGACCTGCATACTGCAGGCCTAAAAAAAAAATTTCGCTAAAGTGTTCTACTTCACCCTTCTAAAATGTCTATGGCTTCGATTTTAGGCCCTTTTACTAGAAAATTGAAGCAAGGGCTGCTTTCAAATCATAAAGGCACAAGTCATAAAGATAAAAGAGTCAGGTCCTCCAGTTCAAAAAAGCAGCACCAGCAGTTGAAGCACTCAGCCAGGAAACAGAAAACACAGGCACAGGCCTACAGACTAATTTGCTGAATTACAGCTTGGACAGAGACTGTAACTCTGACAAAAAACGTCATTAGTGCCTCCATTTCTGCATTTGCACATTGCATTATAAAGGCACCTCACTCAAAGACGAGTGTCGGATACCCAACCTAACAGTAAATACAGCTCCATGTACACACAGATCCTACAGATAGCTGGCAGACATTAGAAACAGAAGGTCTAAAACCAGAAATGAAGGCAGATCCTGAGCACACATGGAGATGAAGAAGCACATACCTACTCTACACACTATGTATGAAGCATGGGGGACAATTCAGAACAATGTTCTCACCTCGCTGGTAACTGCCAAGCAAACGTCACGAAGTCTACAGAGCAGGACCTCTGAATGGGACCAGGCCAGGTGTTTGATGTAGAAGAGTCCCTTCTCCTTCAGCTCCCTGAAAGGCAAAAGATTGATTTTTCTCTCCACCAAGGCAGCACCCTCTGAAATGACCAGGCTGGCAGCTCAGTTGAACAATGGGATGTGCTTTTCAAGGAGTATTTCGTGAAATCATGGAACACGTTGCCAAAGGATACTGTGGCTGTCAAAAGCATACACAGATCCAAGAGGCAAGTAGAGGCGTTTCAGAGTCTTCATCTGTGGCCATTTAAGAAGACAGCTTTCTGAAATCTCTGGCACATGATGCCCCTCTGTCACTGCTTCCTAGAAGCTGTGAGACCGGACCATGCTGCTGTTTCTTGTCACCTCCCTGTACCTGTCCCTGAGACACAGTTCCATGGGGCTGTTACTGGGACATTTTCCTTCTTTGTCAGCCCCAGCAGGCAGTTCCGCAGGGAGAGTCTGAACTGGCACTCTGGAGCTGAGTTTCCACTCTGCAATCTAGGCCTCTCTGTCACCCCCTCCACTCCACCTCACACGTTCCTCAAAAAAGCAGCAGGATGTCCCAGAAGATACCACCCCTGGGCAAGAACTGTTGAAACTCTGTCTTTTCCCAAAACCCCCTACCTAAAACAACCCCCACAACAGCAACATGTTATTTAAAAGGTGCAAAATACTCTGTCTCCCAGAACTTGCTTTGCGCAGGCCCTCAGCTATAGGAAGGTCTGTGAGGCCTCAGGGCTGCAGCACAGGGCTGGTGACAAATCCCACAGACACCCCTGAGTGTCATCCTGACCCCCCATGCCTGCAGGAGCTCTCTGCACCTCTCAGGGCACCAAAGAGAAATGAGGAAGAGAAAGCAGAAGAGAAAGGGCAAAACAAAGGAGACTGCACGAGGAGATGCATCATGGCAGATTTTTCATGCTTATCCCAGTGTGAATGGAGTCCTTAACCCTGTGTGAATGAAGCATCCACCAGAGAATGATCAAAAAGACATCAAAAGGAAATCCAATATGACCTATCATTTGGAGGGTTATCACCTTTGGGCCTCCTTCTGCCTGTGTATAATTTCAAGACAAGTGGTGAGTATTGACAAAATATCTCAGGCCCATATGAAGCAGTGAGAAGGGAAAAGTAGAATTCAAAAGTACAAGATTCTTAGAGGATTTTATTTCTTTTTCCTTCGCTTCTGCCATGAGGCCTTCAGGAGTAATGACAGGCTGAGGGACTTGAAAGCACAACTCCCTGGAGGAACTCCCTGGAGCTGCTTCTGGGACTGCCAAGCAGGAGGTCACAGGGAGACCCTGTCACCTGCCATTGCTGGCAGCAGTGGGAGCAGAGAGGAATCTTACTCAGTCCCACTGGGCCAGTGGCCCACGGCACCCAAATCTCCACACTCAGAACTTCTGTCATTCTGCTCTGCCTTCAGCCAGCAAATCATCTCATTCCACAGCTTTCTCTCTACCCTCAAGATTGCCTTTGTAGCCCCATGGAGCAGCAGGCAAATGGAGGAAACAGCACAGACCTGCTGCAGCTGGAGCACTGCTGCAGATGCTCGTACTCCTCGATGTGCTGGGGAGCTGGCCAGAGCACAGCACGTGCACCTCCGATGGGGACCACACGGCTGTCCTTGCCCTGGCTGTGAGTTTCTGCCTTTGCTGGCCCCAAGGCCACCCCTCCAGCAGCTCTCCATCCTCCCTCCCCCACGGCGTCTCCCTGCCTCAGGCGCTGGGCTGAAACCTGGCCTTGGGGCAGCTTCAGGGCCACCAGGCCCGGTGCTCCCCCTGCGTCTCTCCGGGCCTCTCCCTCCCGTGCTCGGGCCCTGCCACACGGACACCTCGGCACTGAGCGCTGTCTCGAGGGGCTTTGTCCTTTGCAGGCAACTGTGGTGATGTGGAAGATCCTCCAGCTGCCCTGTGTCCCACAGATGGTGACCGTGTATTTCCCCCGCCTGTTTGTCCATCTGCTCTTCCAAGTGCTCTTCAGCACTCTGGATGTGCCAGAGGAGGTCGATACCTTCTGGAAGGGATGTCAGCAGCAATATGGCCTTGCCACCAGCCCCAGCAGGTGCTCCATCCCAGTCCTCCTGTCCTTGCCAAATCCCTGGGCAGGAGCCAGTGCTCCCAGTGTGACCTGGGCTTTGCTCTGCACACAGGTTTGCAGTGCAGACCCTGAAGTCCCTGCTCTGCCAAATGCAGCACAAGGATGTGGTGGTGGCAATGGAACGCAAGTGTGGCTGGGACACGCTGCTCTGTGCTGACACCCACCACTATGCCGTGGGTCTGCTGGCCAGGTGAGACCCCCTTCACACTGCTGCCTCTGACATTTGTGCTCTGTGCCTGGGGTGCCCCACACAGTCCCTGTGGTCATGGGCCAGAGGGCCTTGTCACCGAGGGACAGCCAAGCAGACTGAAAAAGGCTGGGAGAGGAGGGTGCCCACAAGGAGCCGCCTCCCAAATAGCCCAGGGGCCCTTGCAGGATGCTGGGGAAAGACCAGACCTCTGTGAGTCAGTCCTGGGAGAGGTTTGTCCCCCTGGCCCACAGTCTTGGTTACTTTGTCTCCTGCCAGGGAGATGTCCTGTGTCTCCATCCCCTTGTGCTCTCGGATCGCTCGCTACCTGCTCCGGCTGCTCAGCACACAGGAGCCACGCTGGGAGCTGCCCTCCCTGGCGTTCCTTGTGGAGGTGAGCCTGAAGGCCAGCGCTGCCTCGCTCAGCTGCCTCCCGGCTCTCTGCCCTCTCGTGGCCGCAGTGCCTGGGACGGTGCCCGCGCCCTGTGCTGCTGCCTGGGCCCAGCCCTGTGCGGTTCTGGGCTCCTGCCGGCCGGTCCCCTGTCACTGCCCTGTGCCTTTCAGGTCCTCGAGTGCCTGGAATTGAGTGAACGCGGTGCTGACAGAGTCCTGCAAATCTTGTCAAGGCACCTGAGGAGCGAGTGCAAGGAGAGGCGTCACCTGGCGCTCAGGGCCCTTCTCGAGCTCATCAAGGATCCCTCAATGGTGAGAAGGGGGCAGGGGCAGAGGCTGCGCTCAGGAATGCAGTCGCTTGGGCTTGGCTGGGCTTTGGGCGCTGGGCCAGCTGCTCCCAGCTCTCCTGCCTCCCGCTTCAGCTGCCCAAGTGCTTTGGAACAGCCCTTTGGCCTCTAGGCCCTGCAGCAGCAGGATGGCGTTTCACAAACTTGTGTTCCTCACAGAGAGGAAAACTCTGGAGCCTGACTGAAAGTCTTGTGGAGCTCCTGTGGGATGCAGATGGAGAGATAGTTAGCATGACAGCCATGCTCCTCAACTTTATCATCTTGGACAAGGACATGCTGATACCCAGCCCCATCACACTGCAGCTGGTTGAGGCGCTCCTGCCACTCCTTGACCACGTAAGGCTCACTGCCCCCAGCCACGGCCACTGGCTGCTGCCCAGACACTTTGTGCCCTGTGGATTTGCAGGCCTGCACCAAGCTGAGCCCCATGCAGCCAATGCTGAGGTCTCTTTTTCTTCCCTTCATACAGGACAATAGCCAAGTGCAGCTGCTCTCCATACTGCTCTTCTGAACATTGATGACTTTTCCACAGGAAAAAGAAAAAGAGGCTCTGAAGACACACGTGTGCCAGAGCCTGCTGCCACTCTCCTTCCACTGCCATGATGAGAACCAGCGAGTGGCAGAGGTGAGGACTCGGCAGCTGCTGCTGTTCCCCTGGCAGGGGCTGGGCTGCCTCCTGCCCTGGCACCTCGCAGGCTGCAGCCTCCTCCAGGCCCTGGCACAGGGACGGGTCCTGCGCCCTGGGCTGTGGGGCCATCTCCGCGTCTCTGCTGCTCTCCAGGCTTCTCAGGAAACGCTTCTGTGTGCGGCCGAGTTCCTGAAGAGGAGGGATCTTGAAAAGCTGGTGAAGAACCAGGAGCTGTGGAAGTTCACCGAGTGCCTGGTAAGGAGGGCCGGGAAGCCGCAGCCCCAGCCTGGAGAAGCCCCCTGAGCGCGGTGCTCGGTGTGCGGGCTGGCAGCTGTGCCCCTGCCCGCTGCTGCAGCCCGAGGCCGCGCGGGCTCTGCTCCAGGCTCCTGCGGCCCGAGCCGGGTGCCCATGGAGCCCCGGCCCGGCGGGGCTGCGGGGCCAACCCTTCCCTCCTGCCGCTCTCTGCAGCTGGCAGAGGACAGCAGCAGCGTGGCCGAGCACCTGCGCCGGGCCCTGCCCTACCTGCAGAGCCCACAGGAGCCCCTGCGAGAGGCGCCGTCAGGTTCATGGGTGAGCCACGAGCCGGGCCAGGAGGGCGTGTGGGCACAGGGCTGGCAGCGCCGCTGGCAGGGAGCTGTGCCGCTGGGCCTGACAGGCTCTGTGTTCCCAGGGATGGCCGGGAGGAGCTTGAGGGGACAGCAGGAAAAGCTCCAGCTGATCCTCAATGGTGAGACAGGGCAGCGGGCTGACAGCGGGGGCTGCCGGGGCGAGCTGCAAGCCCTGCCCCGGCTGCGGAGAGCTCTGCTCTCCTAGGTAGAGCACACAGAGATTTCAGGGACACGTGGGGGATGCGTGGCCAGCAGCTTCGGGCTGATCCCCTTGGTCCCTGATCCCTCCCGGCCATGGCAAGAGCCGGCTGGGATGGCCCTGGCAGGGGGGGCTCCCCTCGGCTCCCCGCAGAGTCGGGATCTGACCGTGGCTCTGTTCCTCTCTCTTGCAGCCCCTGAATGCCCAACAGAGGATGTCAGTAGTGCCATGTCAGAGCTGGCACTTCAAACATTGCATGTCCTCCGGGCAATACAGAGTGGGCGATACTCCATCTTCCAGAAGGTGCAAGATCATACAGCCCTCTGTGATGTCACACGGACATCTCTGTGATGTAACACAGCCCTCTGTGATGTCACATGGACATCTCTGTGATGTAACACAGCCCTCTGTGATGTCACATTGTTATCTCTGTGATGTCACACAGCTCTATGTGATGTCACACAGACATCTCTGTGATGTCACACAGCTCTCTGTGATGTCACACAGACATCTCTGTGATGTCACACTGTTATCTCTGTGATGTCACACTGTTAGCTCTGTGATGTCACACAGCTCTCTGTGATGTCACACTGACATCTCTGTGACATCACACAACCTCCTGTGATGTCACAGATATCTCTGTGCTGTCAAAAAGCTCTCTGTGATGTCACACAGCTCTCTGTGATGTCACACTGACCTTATGATGTCACACAGCTCTCTGTGATGTCACACAGACATCTCTGTGATGTCACACAGCTCTTTGTGATGTCACACTGACATCTCTGTGACGTCACACAGCTCTCTCTGATGCCACTTGGACATCACTGTGATGTCACACTGACCCTATGAGGTCACACAGCTTTTTGTGATGTCACACAGACATCTCTGTGATGTCACACCACCTCCTGTGATGTCACACAGACATCTCTGTGATGTCACATAGCCCCTGTGATGTCACACAGCTCTCTGTGATGTCACACAGGTTCTGTGATGTCACACAGGATCTGTGATGTCACACAGGATCTGTGATGTCACACAGCTCTCTGTGATGTCACTCAGGACCTGTGATGTCACACAGCCCCTGTAAAGTTACACAGATCTCTGTGATGTCACACAGCCCCTGTGATGTTACACAGGTCTCTGTGATGTCACACAGCCCCTGGTCTCTCACTGTGGTTGTTTATCTGTCTTCCAGCCCTTGAAGCCATGAGCGAAGATGACAGCCCATCCTCCACTAACCTGGAAATTCAGGCAGTTTTTGGACAAAGATGTGCAGAACTAAGGTCATCTGCTGGATTCAGAGAACCAGGCTCCCAAGCAGAGTACCAGGAGACAGTGAAGAGAGCAGCAGGACTCAATGTCACTGGAGCTCCAGGCACACCTGATGCTGGCCACAGCTGTGCCTGCTGCAAGCTCCCATAGCTGCTGCCTTCCCCCTCCCTGTTGACAGCTCCTCCCTCCAGCCCTCAAACGCTGCCCATTCCCTTTTTTTGGCCCCCATCTCATCCCTTCCCTTTCCCTTCCATTAATAAACAGTTTGGTTTCTCCCCCTTACCTGCATCTCTGTGGAGCTGAAGCGGCGCAAATCCCGGGCCCTGGGACACACAGGCCCCTGCTGCTGTTCTCTTCCACGCCGTGTTCTGTGCACACACACACAGAGGAACGAGGGCAGATCAGGCTGGAAAGGTGCCTGTGCTGAAGGTGCAGTTCCACAACCCTGTGGAGTTGCAGATCTTGCTGAGCAGCCTGGAGCCCCTGGAATTTGGAAGAGCCAAGCTGAGTATGCTCTGAAGGCAGCTGTGAGGGATTCCATGGCAAGCTTCCACGGAGGGCAAAGGAGCTTGGAATGCTGGAAGTTTTCAGGAATAGCTTCCTGAAAGCTCAGCAGTGCTCCATCCCTGCACAGGATCAGGGAGAGGGCAGAACCAGTGACCATCCGGGCTTAGCAGGGAGCTTTGGGTGTGCCTGAGGGCAAAGGAAGCAGCAGCGCGGTGCCCAAGACTGGGACGCGCGACCCTGCCAGTGCCCGGAGCGCTGTCAGGCAGTGCCGGGATCCCGGCTGTGGTTCTGGTGCCCACAAGTGAGGAATTGCAGCCCCAGGCTCAGAGCCAGTCAGAAAGCCAACCAAGTGAGAGCAGAGGGAGGGCACCCTTCCAGTCTCTCTTGGGCATGGCCGCAAAACAGCCCCTGCTGCTTCTTCCTCCGCCTGTGTTTGGGCTGTGCTGGTGGCAGAGGCAGCCAGGCTGTGCTCTGCCTTCCAGAGCCTGTTGGGAGCGGGCATGAAAAGCGCTGTGTGCACAGCGGAGAGGCCTGGAAGGTGCTGGCAAGAGCGTCCTGCGGGAGCAGGGCTCTGGGCTCTGGCTGGGAACAGCCTGGTCTTGGTGCCGTGGGCGCAGGCAGGAGTTGAGGCAGGTGAAGAGGCACTGAGCAGCTTGTGTTTGTAGAGGGCCTGGGGCTGCACGTCTGAGCCTCCACCTGGAAAGGCACTTGGGGGAATAGGAGCTAGAGCTGGAGTGCCTGTCCTGAAAGGACATGAAGTCCTTCAGCCTTGCCAGCGTTTCCTAAGGGTGTGTTGGTGTTGAGCAGAAAAGCTGCACATTTGGGGTATTGCATTTGGAGGACAGGGGCTTGCTTCTCAAGGAAAGTGCTTCCCAGGGAGCTCCCAGTGAGGCAGGTGCAAGTGTCCCCCTTTGGCTCTCTGTGCTCCTTTCAGTCCTTGAGGCCCGCTGCACTTGGCAGAGGGACAGGGGAAGGGAGAAGGCTGTGAAGAGCAGGTTTGGCATCCACCTGGACCTGCAGAGACCAACCCAAGCACCTGCAGCAGCGTGTGTTACCCCCCCTTTGGACAGAGGGGTGAGCAGAACCATCTCTGTCCATCTGTGAGCCCCAAAGCTCTCAGTGGGAGCTGTGAATTAAAAGGCCTTTACACACTCACGTTTCACATCTTCCCTGTCTGCTGTGTTTCAGCTCTTGGCAAGATGCATTTGCCTCCTGCTTGCTGGGAGCTGCTGTGGCCCAGGGCCAGCACAGAGCTGGGCTGGGTGGGCCAGGCAGTGTGGTGGAGAGTCTTGGCTGATCTTGGTGTGTGCCTGGCCTCAGAAAAGGCTTGGAAGGTTTGCCTCCCAAATGTCCTGCTCACTGGCTCTCCCTGTGCATCTTGGAGAGCACAAGGGAGGCATTTCTGGCAGGCCAGACGCCCTCTTGGGACTTCCCCTCTCTTAGATCTTCCCCCTCTTGGAATCCCTGCTCTCCTAGAGCACCCTCTCTTCCCTTTGTCTCTCCCCTCCCCCATCACCTCAGGCCCTGCCACGTGCTTCGTCTGGCAGCTCCAGGCAGGACCTTTCACCATCCCTAATAAACCTTATATTCTAAGAGCAACCAACAGAGATCTCTCGTTTGAATCCATCCAAACCGTCCTGGAGGCTCCTGCGTCCTTACAAAATTATTTTCCCTTTTAACCCAATAACTGATCCCTTGAAGCCTGCAATGCAGAATTTTCTGTCCAATCACAAAATATCACCCAAACCCATGAAGAAGGAGGTAAGAAGAAGGTAAATAAGAAGAACCTGTCTCCACCCTAAAACCTCCATATGCTTCATATTTATTACTATGTTCTAAAACCCCAAACTCTAAGTTTTCCACCCTGTGGTAGTATACACCTCTAACCAACTACGCACCTGTATCCCCAGTGCTATTAATCAATTTTGGAAGCCTTCTCCACAGCCTCAGGTCAAACGCAGTGTTCTCTTGCAAGTCTGTGCCTTTCAGCACAGCAAGTTTAAAATTCTCAGCATCCAGGGTTCCAACACTTACGGAATCATGGACACTCTTGTGACACTAAAGGCCTCACTGAACCATTGTGACACCACAAGGCCTCATTGAACCGAGGGGCCATTGTGACA